CTGGGCAACAACAGTGAAACTCTGTCTCCAAAAAAAAAAAAAAAAAAGGAAAAGATGTGTGCTGTGTGCTTTAGATGAAATACAGATACAGATGTGCCCCCAAACTCCCACATTAAATGTATAGCTCAGATATCTCTTCTGACCACCAGGTTAACATATAAAACTGCTACTCAACACCATCTGGAAACTTCATTGACATCTGAACTCCATATACCTCAAACTGAACTTCTGCTCTTCCTGCAAAATCTACTCACAGTCTTTCTCAACTCAGTTATTGTAACTTTTTTTTTTTTTTTAAAGATAAGTTCTCTCTCTGTTGACCAGGCTGGAGTGGGTCACTGCAGCCTTAACCTTTGGGGCTCAAGCAATCCTCCCACCTCAGCCTCCCAAGTAGCTGGGACTACAGGTGTGCACCACCACACCTGGGTAATTTTTTGCTTTTTTGTAGAGATGGGGTCTTCCTATGTTGCCCAAGCTGGTCTTGAACTTGTGGGCTCAAGAGATCTTCCCATTTCGGCCTAAGTGTTGGGATTACAGGTGTGAGCCACCATCCCTGGCCAACTTCATCCTTCTCACTGCTCAGACCAAGCTTTCTCCCTCTCACCTCCCACATCCTAGCTGTGTAGCACATCTTGTTGCCTCTACCTTCCAAATACATCCAGAATCAGACCATTTCTCACTACCTCCACTGCTCCCGTCTGGCTGGTGCCAGCATCATCTCATGCCTGAATTACTGCGACAGCTCCCTTCAGGCCCCAACTCCACTCTTGCTCCTTGACATTCAGGATAAAAGGAAGTCATTATGCCACCCCTCTGCTCAGAACTCCCAGTGGCTCCTCTTTTCACCCAGAGTGAAAGCCCAGGAAGTCCTTGCAGAGGCAAACAAGTAGGCCAGGCCTGATCTCCCACCATTCTCATCCCTACTCACTCTGCAGTGGCCACAATGGCCTTGTTGCTCTTCCTAGAATATATCAAGCATTCCTCCGTCTTGCAGTCTTAGGACTGGCTGTTTCCTGTGCCCAGAATACTCTTCCCTCAGATAGCCACAAGGCTAAATTCTTCACCTCCTTCAAGTTTTTCCACAAATATCACCTTTTCAATGAAGTCATCTTGATCACCCTATTTTTTTTTTTTTTTTTTTGAGATGGAGTCTTGCCCTGTCACCCAGGTTGGAGTGCAATGGTGCAATCCTGACTCACTGCAATCTCTGCCTCCTGGGTTCAAATGATTCTCCTGCCTCAGCCTTTGAGTAGCTGGGATTTAAAGCCTAACTGAACTCTGGCACTGCGTTTTCACCACTCCATGTTTCAAGGTGTCTGCCACCGTGCTCAGCTAATTTTTGTATTTTTAGTAGATATGGGGTTTTGCCATGTTAGCCAGGTTGATCTCGAACTCCTGACCTCATGATTGTCCCACCTCGGCCTCCCAAAGTGCTGAGATTACAGGCGTGAGCCACCGCGCCTGGCCTGATCACCCTATTAAAAATGCAATGTGCCTGGCACTCCCCTTCCCCAGTATTCTGCTTGACGTATGTAATCATCTTCTAACATGTTCTTTAATTTACATCACACATATAGAAATGTCTTGATGCCTGTCTGTTTTGTTAGATAATAAACTACAAAAGGGCAAAGATTTTCATTATTGAGGTCCCTGAAGCATCCCAAGATCCTGGAACAGTAGTTGTGCCACAAATATTTGCTGAGTGGATGTATAAGCAAAGCATGGGGAGAATGGCAGCATGTTAATTCCACAAACATCCCCCAAATGCCCAGGATGTGCTGGGCTCTGGGTCTTAGGCAATGAGGATTCCAGGTTGATAAGGCATGGCTCTTGGTCTCCGGATACAGGGGGGTGGGAAAGGAAGACAAGCTAACCAAATTTTCTCCCTGAGTAGTGAAATTCAGATTAGAAATAGTGAAGATGAGCCCTGGCCCCTCTCTGAACCCCTCTGCTTGTGTCATTTTCTCCTCTCCTTCTTGCCCTTCAAGATGCTGCCCGCCATCCTGTACATATAACTGCTTTTCCCCAGCTTCGGTCTTTGGCCCTCTTCTCCTGCCTCTCAAGCACTGAAAGTTGTGAGGTCCTGTCTCAAGGCCAATTCCTATTCTTGTGCTGTCCCTGATGTCCTCATCCCATCCCACAGCTTCCCTAATGGCCTTACAGACCTTTTCATCTTTAAACTCGTAGTTACACCTGCACATCTGCACTAGACTGAAAGTGCCCAGAACACAGCCCATGTATCTTTCCTTTTCCTGCATTTTTTTTTTTGAGACGGAGTCTTGCTCTGTCGCCCAGGCTGGAGTGCAGTGGAGCAATCTCGACTCCCTGCAAGCTCCACCTCCCGGGTTCACACCATTCTCCTGCCTCAGCCTCCTGAGTAGCTGGGACTACAGGAGCCTGCCACCACGCCTGGCTAATTTTCCTTTTCCTCCATTCTTAGTGCCAGTTAATAGCATTACCAGTTGCCCAGATACCCAGGGAGAAATGGGGGTGACCAACCATCTCCATTTACTGAGGGTGCCCCTGGGACTTGGGACTCTCTGTGCTAAAACCAGGAGAAGTCTGGGGAAAAATGAAACAAGCTGGTCACCCTAAATGCCTGGTCCAGAATCTGGAACACGCAGGGGTAATAACCTCTGGCAGTTCCCTACATCAACCCCTCATACCCAGCCCAGTTTCTTTGTTGACCTCATCATAGATCTGAGAACATGTTCTGCATGCCACATTTACTATAACCCTAACTCCCGTTCCCAGGCTCATGTTTCCAAACCAAACACTCAGAATAGAGTGCAGTGTAGCTCAGAGGCCCACAGGTACTGACTCGATGACACTGTGGAAGGAGGTGGTATCCAGCTGGAAGATGGACAGGTCAAAGAGGGTAGTAAAGTCCCTCGGGATCTCATCGCTCTCCTGGAGACACTCTCGATTCCGCTTTGATAGGGTGGCTGTGTAGGGCAGCATCATGTAATCAGAAATCTGAAACCCACAAGAGGATTCCTTTCAGCAGAGCAAGAACAAGCATTTATTCTGTCAAATCTCCCGTCTCAGGTCTAAATCTGCAACATTTATACTCTCTTGCCAAGAAATTTTACTGTTCATGATCACTGACCACTAAACCTTAACTAAGCTAATTTATGTGGAAAGAGGAACAAAATTAACTTGGCTAAACCCCAGCACTGGCTAAATCCAACTCTCCAATTACACCAGTACTCACATGGCTGAACACAGCTGGAGAAACACACAACCCTGTCAACTGGTCTTTTAATTTCATGATCTCTGATCTTGAGCACTCAGCAAACAACTACATCTCTGTAGTCTACCCACTTTCCCCTTCTTCTAGACAATACTCCCCTTTTTCCAGTTCAGCCATGAAAATGATTTTCCCAGCTGGGTGCAGTGGCTCACACCCACAACACTTTGGGAGGCTGAGGTGAGCGGATCGCTTGAGCCCAGGAGTTGGAGACCAGCCTGGGCAATATGGCAAAACCCTGTCACTACAAAAATACAAAAAAATTTAGCTGAGCATGGTGGTGTGTGCCTGTAGTCTCAGCTACTTAGGAGGCTGAGGTGGGAGGATCACCTGAGCCCAGGAGGTCAACACTGCAGTGAGCCATGATCAAACCACTTCATACCAGCCTGGGTGACAGAGTAAGACTTTGTCTCAAAAAAAAAACTGGTTTTCCTTTTCACCATTTTAGCAATGACCCTATTTTCTATTTTAGTAAGAAAATAGAGGAAATCACGAAAGAAAGTCCACAAGCTCCCACCATAACATGTACCTACCCACTAGCATCCAGGCCCTATCTGCTTCTTTCCTCCTGGTACATGCCAGAGTACCTGTGACACCAGTACAGACAGTTCTTCCACCGGTACACTAGATACCAGTCCTTCTCCCCTAGCCAAGGACATCCCTCTAGCATTGCTGAGAGCCCTCAGTCATGACACATGCTGTGGACTAGTGACAGTAAAAGACCAGGAAAACCTAAATGCCTGCCAACAGGATAGTGGGTAAATATATATGTATACATATACATATATATACATACACACATATATGTATATGTATACACACACAGATGTATACACATGTATACACATATACATGTATACACATATATACACATATGTATACATATATATACAAACACACACACACACACATATATATATATATTTTTTGAGACGAGTCTCACTCTGCCACCCAGGCTGGAGTGCAGTGGCGCGATCTCAGTTCATGCCATTCTCCTGCCTTAGCCTCCTGAGTAGCTGGGACTACAGGCGCTCGCCACCACGCCTGGCTAATTTTTTTTTAATTTTTTAATTTTTTAGTAGAAACAGGGTTTCACCATGTTAGCCAGGATGGGCTCAATCTCCTGACCTCATGATCCACCCGCCTCAGCCTCCCAAAGTTCTGGGATTACAGGCGTGAGCCACCGCAACTGGCCATGAGTAGTTAAATATATTACACTTAAATAATGAAGCAAAATATCCATATGCTTAATGTTTCCATATAAGGAAATACTTTAGACATGCAGCTCTCCTGTTTCCTAACCCAAATCAGTCTCTGAGAAGCCATGTCCTTAGGTGAGGGAGGAAGCAGTCAGTGGACAGCCATCTTTGACTGTCTTCTCACCTACCTCCCATGACCAATGGCCAGGAAATTATTTTCCTGACATTTCAGAGTTTAAGAAATAGAGAAACAATTGTAGGATAAGTAGAGTTTGAATTAGGAGACCTGGATTTGGATCCTGGCTCTGCACTTGCCTGCCATTTGAACACACTGCGATCTTGAAGGATTTCAGTTTCCTCATCTATAAAATGAGAATAAGACCACCTGCCTCCCAGGGCAGTTGAGAGGATTAAATAAGATGACTTATGTGGAAGTATATGGCATACAATGCCTGACACATTACCATCTATTAACTTAGCCCGCATAATCATCCTGTGAGGCAGAGAACACAGGTATTAGCATCCCCTGTTCACAGATAAGAAAACCAGAAGGCTGGGCCGGGGAGCTCACGCCTGTAATCCCAGCACTTTGGGAAGCTGAGGCAGGTGGATCATTTGAGGTCAGGAGTTTGAGACCAGCCTCGTCAAAATGGTGAAACCCTGCCTCTACTAAAAATACAAATATTAGCCAGGCATGGTGGTTCACGTCTGTAATCCCAGCTATTCAGGAGGCTGAGGCAGGAGAATCACTTGGACAGGAGATGGAGGTTGCAGTGAGCTGAGATTGCGCCACTACACTCCAGCCTTCGGCAACAGAGCGAGACTCCATCTCAATACAATAAATTTTTTTAAAAAATAAAGAAAACTAGGATGAAAAATGGTCAGAAAGAACCTGTATAAGGTCCAAGAGCCAGTGGTGATTTCGCTGTGCTGGTTTCACCACTCTCACTTGTCTGATGAATATTATCATAATGCCTTTAGAATTGTTAAATCTAAAGGCGACAAAATTATAGTTTACAACATAAATTCTGATAGTCTTTGTTTCTTCATGAGAAAATTTCATACTTCTGAAAAAAGTATTTTTCTGCAGATGCTCATTTTGAAAGTTTGGGCCAGAGTGCCCATAATTTAAATTCTAATTTATATACATACTGTATGTATGTATGTTCCCCTCCAATTAATTCTATGATTAATTACATATTTTGTTTATTGACTTATTTTTTACAATATGGCCTTCATCCCCCCAATCATCCTTTCTTTCCATTTGTCTTACAGATGAGGTAAGACAGATGTGTATTCCTTTTGAGCTGTTAGAAGTGATACTGAGAAGCTCGACTCATTTTTCATTTGAAAGTTTCTAATAATTCGCAGTGTCTACCTCTGGGTCTTCGGCATCAATCTGGTTTAGGTGGATGTCTCCTGTTGTGAGCCACTGGAAAACAACATCCTAAAAAAAAAAAAGTACATAATTAGGACAGTTGGTTATTTGAAAAAGCTGAAGGTCAGGACTAGAGAATTAAATCAAGAAAAATGATAAAGGAAAAAAGATTAAAGCAGTGATTCAGAAAAGGGTAGCCAGCCTTGAAATCATATGAGAACTCAAAGGTTTTTGTCACCTTAATGCAACTTTTTATTTATTTTCTTTTTTGAGACAGAGTCTCGCTCTGTTGCCCAGGTTGCAGTGTGGTGGTGTGATCTTGGCTCACTGCAACCTCCGCCTCCTGGGTTCAAATGATTCTCCCATCTCAGCCTCCCAAGTAGCTGGGATTACAGGCGCCTGCCACCAGGCCCGGCTGATTTTTGTATTTTTAGTAGATGGGGTTTCACCATGTTGGTCAGGCTGCCCTCAAACTCCTGATCTCAGGTGATCCGCCTGTCTCGGCCTCCCAAAGTGGTGGGATTATAGGCATGAGCTGCTGTGCCCAGCATAATGCAACTTTTATTATCAGAAATTTATAATTTATCTTTAAGCACTCTAACCTCTAGCCACAAGCTAAAATTTATTAACATTTGTTCACAATCCTGAATTAATCCCTGTTTACTGTGATGACAGTCTGAAATTAAAACTTTTGAAAAGTAGAATACCTAGGCCGGGCATGGTGGCTCATGTCTGTAATCCCAGCATTTTGGGAGGCTGAGGCGGATGGATCACCTGAAGTCAGGAGTTCCAGACCAGCCTGGCCAACATGGTGAAACCCTGTCTTTATTAAAAATACAAAAATTAGCCTGATGTGGTGGCGCACGCCTGTAATCCCAGCTACTCAGGAGGCTGAGGCAGGAGAATCGCTTGAACCGGCGAAGTGGAGGTGGCAGTGAGCCAAGATGGTGCCATTGCACTCCAGCCTGGGCAACAGAGAGAGACTCCATGTCAAAAAAAAAAAAAGTAGAATATCTAGATCTCCCATAATGTATCTAGAGACGCTGAAACTTCATGTAAATTCCACAGAAATAAGGTCTTAATCAATCTCCCAATATAACAATTATAAGGCTGAAGTAATCTATTTTATGAAGGAAAAAGTTTGGCGGGCGTTTCTTTCTCTCACTGGAATCACCAATGGACAGCTCTGACACGTGCTGTACAGACATGTGCTTCCCCACTCTGCTATCCTCCATAAGACATGTTCCCTGGGTGTTTTTTTGACAAAATTGCAATGTCTTTATTTGCCACATCAGCCAGTGAGTGGTCCTCTACAGAACCCTTCCTAATTCCCATTCCATGCCACCGGCCCCTCCTCTCCACGCACATCTTCACTGCCAATACTCAGGTCCCTATTCTTCCTTGCCTGGTGACACCACCGCCTTCCTAACTGGCTCTAGGCTGCCTCCTCCTCTCCACCTTCCACGCAACTGACAGAAAAATCTTTCCAAAACATTCCAGAAGTTCTTTCATAAACAATAACAACAACAAAAAGAAGAAACACAGACCTGGCTATGCCCAAGGCTGCTGAAAACCCAAGGGCTCCCTGTGGCTTTCAGCATCAAGTTCGAGCTCCTCGGTCTCACACGTGATACTGCTGTTGAGCTTGTTCCTCTCTGCTTCTCCAGGCTCAGCTCCCACCCCACCTGACATGCTCAGAAACACCCTTCTGGGTTTTCTAATTTGTCTCTCTCTCTCTCAATGTATTACAAACTTTTCCAAAGCAGGGACTATGCCTGACTCAACTTTGTATTCTCAGTGCCTGGCATAGACTGGGTTCTGAGTAGCTGGTTTTAAATGAGCAAATAAACTTACCAGTATTTTTTAAAATGACATGAAAATAATACTTACACATTGTACATTCATGTGATGAAACAAATAGCTTACCATGATTTTGCTGTTTTCTTCTTTGTCCAAATATTGATCACTGAACATGTGACATGAACCAAGCACTGCCAGCTTCCCACCT